GCAGTGACATGGCACCGGAAGCAGTCCGGCAATGGGACGCTCAATCGTTCGCGCTGCATGTTTGTGTCGGCCAGTTTGCCAGTGAAATGGTCCAGCAAATAAAGACCTGTCTTTATTTAGCTCAAGTGCCAGACCCTTGGTTCGCGTTGTTTAACGTGTGGTTTTATTTTTGCCATCCATTGATTTGTGCGATAAAGCAATGGGCAAATTGGGTGAAAAGCACAATATATAGTATGAAACATCGATTAATACTACGTATTAATACTACTCCGGAGTACTATTAAATATCGCTATGTTAGTAACTTATTTGTATAATAAACCTTCACTCTTCAATTTGGCCAGTTGATGAAGTACTACGTACTTGTACGTAGTAGTTCTATTTCAATACTACTAACGTACCGGTAGTAGTATTGAAGTAGAACTCTACCCTAGCCAATCATCCACTAGATCCGCATAAACCTCATTCCCCTCCGGATACGATTTGGATTTGGACAACATTTGCAAGTTGACAAGGCAGCGCATGCAGATTGGAATGCGATGGCATGCAGTGGCATTGAGTGCGTTGGTAGCTTGCATCAGCATGTTGTTTACCTCTAAAGGCCAAGGAGTCCTTGTGTACCTCAACTTCCCAGCCTTCCTCTGGTTTGGATTTGACACTCCAACGCAACCCCATCTTGGCTGCTTTCCAGGCTTGCCTCACACGTCGAACCACTACATATCCAGCACCAACGACGTCACCCTTGGCTTGTGGTACACACAAGCATCCCACGTGTCATCGAACAAACTTGTTTTGTATCTGCATGGCAATGGCGAACACCGCGGGATGTCTGTCAGTGTGCTCAAGCACGGGATATACGCCAATCCTCCATTTCACGCAGACATCCTCTCCGTGGACTACCGAGGTACGCAGTTTAATCGCAGCGAACGAATAGGAATTCCTATTTCCGCTAATGAATATGAATTCCTATTAGGCTTTGGTGATTCGACGTTTACTTGGCCGACAGAACAAGGATTGTACGATGATGCACACGCTGCCTTCAACTATGCCATTTCAACACTGGGATTTGCACCCCACCAAGTTGTCGTCCATGGATATTCCCTTGGGAGCGCCGTAGCCAGTCGTTTGGTGTACGACCTTTGTCAGAACTCGACGTGTCCAGCTGGGTTGTTGTTGGAGGTATGAACTAACTATAAAGGAACATACTTACGCAAGAAATGTTAGGCTCCATTTTTGTCAATACCAGACATCGTGTCCGACTATATTCTGGGCGTGAACGTCCCTTCGTGGCTGCTGAACCTGTATCACCGGTTCCCCACAAAGACAATTTTGGGAAATATCCCCATTCCCACTTGGATAGTCCACGGCTCCCTTGACAGCGTTGTACCGTTTCGACACGGCCACACGTTGGCCACCATGTTCCCTCATAGCACGATGGGATTTTGCCCTGTTCCTGGCGCCCGACATATGACATCGTTTGACTTTGACGAAGCCCGAACATGTGTGATGCGCACGTTCTGGTCGAATATTTGGACACAATGCTACCGCCAGACTGCCATGGCCCGCTTCCGCAGAGCTTTGCTGCAAGAAACACTGTACCACTGTCCACGACTTGCTATTTAATACTAACGTTAAGCTTAGTTACTGCGCTGAAGCAACAACTAATGTTTATGTGTTGAGGCACAACCAGATCGCACTAGGGATTGAATACTACACCTTTTTTCTATTGACTTGGGACTTTTTTTAACGTTGTTGGCTTGGCGCTCATTCGAAAGGGCGATGTGTCCATTCATTTGGCCTTGTGGCCAATAGAATTGACACTTAGTGCCGCAACACCCTTTGAAATGTACCATGCTACCAATGGAAAAGGCTCCACTACCCAACAATGTGCCAAGTACCATTTCGAATCTGCCGTGCTTGAAGTTGAGTTGGATCGAATATAACATTATATTATCAAATACGCGACGGCATGAAAAAAGCAGATAAAATCATCGAAACTTGCAGCAAACAGCTACATGTCGACGTCCATGTCTTCCATTCGGTCCGCACGACCGTAGAAGTACTCGAAACGAGGGGATGCGCTTGTATTTCGTGCGTGGCTATGAACATGGTAAGTGTATTGTGAGTGACGACGTCGTACTGGTGTCTGTGGTGCAGCGTTCTCCATTGTTGTACGGAATGCGATTTTGAAAAGCGAAAAAAATGGGCGCGAAGATCGCCCAACTGCAACCTTCTAGAATAAACTCAACTTCAAGCACGGCAGATTCGAAATGGTACTTGGCATATTGTAGGGTAGTGGAGCCTTTTCCATTGGTAGCATGGTACATTTCAAAGGGTGTTGCGGCACGACGTGTCAATTCTATTGGCCACAAGGCCAAATGGATGGACACATCGCCCTTTCGAATGAGCGCCAAGCCAACAACGTTGAAAAAAGTCCCAACTCAATAGAAAAAAGGTGTAGTAATACGAGCATAACGTTACGCGTTTGGCAACCAATTGTACTGTAGTAGGCACGAGTAGGTATCGCGGGTAGAAATATCTGTCGCCAAGATTACCTCAAACCATTGGCCGGTCTTTTTCTGACGACAACATGCTACTGAATGAAACAATCCAATGCTGCAAATTCTTATGAAGAGTGTACATATTCGCCTTGAATGCTGTGTTGGAAGCCAGCCAGTCTATTGCAATTTGGACTTGACGACACGGGGACTAGTCACGTATCCAACGGCAAACAACAACGCTTGGGCGACAAGGATGGCCAAAAAGCCACTGGTTTGCCACTGCGCTTCGTCCAACAGCGACTGTGGGGCCACACCTTGATACACAAGCACCTCCGTGATGGAAAACGCTGCTTCTAGCACATGGACCACGGTCAACGTGGCCAAGAGCGTCAAGTTGGTGATGTCCACGGCGGCGGCGAGTCGAAGGATGCCAAGCGTGAGGCAGTAGACTGCATAGAGCCGACGAAAGACGGCGACTCCGTCCAAGGCGGGGTCCGGCAGCGTTGGAGTGAGGTCAGCAATTGGTGTGGACAACACATACAGCCGCACGAACGTGTGCACTTCCACCACAAAGCCCAGGATCAGGTACGCTCGAAGAATCGACATGTTTACTACTAACGTTAGTAGTACTTCGAAGTATTTGTTTCCACCAAACTTGACTGTGAAGTCCAAGTGTAACCATTGATTGGCAAAATGACCATCGATCGGCCAAGGTGTTTCGTCCAATTGAAATTAATACGATGTTTCATTGGATAAAATAAATCCTTGTGATAAGTTTTACCTGTATAATATGATGGAGGTAAACAATTCAACGTTGAACAATACTTGCAGCTCTTACTCTGAATACGTATACCTGTTGAAATTTAGTAAACCTTTGAGACATAGTCTTTTAACATTGAATTTAGTAAGGGAATTTTACGGCTTTGATGAAACATAATTATTGATTTATAGAGCAATATCATATGTACGCAGTAATAATATTTTACAGGTCATACTTGTTATGAAAACAGGCGAGCATCTCTTTAAGTACCCAACCGCAGGTTAATGTCGCCTTTTGGACATTTATTTCACCTAAAAACCGTTGTGTCCTCAACCGGGCGTTCCAACCCCCAAATCTCGAAATTCAGCTCTGTGGAACAAACCATTCTTGAGCCACGCACTCTGGTAGGACTCATTTTGTACATCGCATCACCACTAACACTTGATGCAGTCTGTACGAGCGAGCGAGTTGCTCTGTAAGACGCGGGTTTTCGTAGGACAATATGTCGTCAAATCCTTCTGATTTCATGACATCTAATTTTATATATCTAATTATAAGTTTCTGGCGCTGTGGGGAGCAGGATTCCTTATCCCAAAATATGGAATACCCCTAGTACTGTTTTTGAAACTTACCAGACGCATTCTTACATAACGATCGCTCGACACAGGTTCAGTACGACTCACATCATACTCCTTGTGTCCAATATACCCGTACATTTGTTCATGGACGACAATTACACTGATGAGCGTATATTGGTGACGCGTGGTACCGTGCCGGACTCGCGAGCCCACCATGGATAGATAATGTCAAAACCGTTTCAATTTGGACTAACGAGTAGAGTCGAATCAATTTGGCTAATGTATTTTAGAATGTCCTATCAAACTTCACTAATGAGAAATTTTAGCCAATATTCGATGAGAATAATTTGGCCCACCAGTTTCCCACCATAATATTCATCTACATTTAATAAGCTTAATTTGTCAGTCAAATCCTTCAGCTTACTAAATCCAAATTTCAGCGAAAAGAATAGATACGGGTTGTCAAATCACTCCAGTAGAACTCAACTCTCGCGTTGAAGGGCACGAAAATTGAGCTGTGCTATTAATAGAGTGATTTGGTAACATAGGCGATAGATTTGGCACTGGATTATGATTTTTCAAGAAATATAATGGTTGATAGGTGAACTATATTTCTGAAAGACGAAATTAACCTGTGGTTGATTACAACGCAGGTTGGGTGTGATATAATGGCGAGGTTTTACATCGGCGTGAAATATAATGCAGTTTGGGCGAAATATATTGGCGATTCGGTGAAATATACGGGAGGTTGGTGGAAATACATACAGTATATAGTGAAAAAATGCTGAAATTAATCGCAAGTTGGTGTAGTATAGTCCTAACGTTTGTGTTAAAACTACTACGTACTCTTAATGGTCTCCGGAGAATTCGAAATAATCTCAATATTGCGTCCATATTATTCTCGATACGGTACCAGCGTGGATATTGTGGACTCAGGATTCATGAAGAACAAGTGAAAGGTCGCGACGACTACTATGACAACATGCACGAGGGCACACCCAACATCCAATGCTTGGGATTCTGGCAATCGCATCGTCAGGTATTTTGGCGTCGGGAGGACCCAACCCAGTGCTGCACTTGTCCAGCACACAGTCGAGGCAACGAGGGTGTCTGCTTGACCAAACCAGAGGCTGGCAGACGCGCCATTTGCGGTGGCCAGTCCAGCCATGAGTCCCAAACTTGCGGGTTCGAGGACGAGGTATCGTAGCGTGTCAAACGGAGGCAGGGTCATCATCACAAGTCTGTAGCAGGCGTGCGCTAGGACCCACGACAAGGGCGATGCATTGAAGAGGAAGTAACCATCTTGGTACGACACAGTTGCCCAGTGTACGCTTTGCATTTCACGCAAGAGCCAAAGCACAAGGCTAATGCATGCCACGCGATGGGTCACGCCTCGAAGGGTGCTCCCGGCGGACACAAACCCCATCATGGCGATGTTACCCACCACCGCGGCATTGATATAGATCGAGAACCAAGCCAGATTCGACGCTTGTGTCTCGGGCGAGAGCTGCCCGAAAGCGACCACAGAGCCCATGCCCAGGGGCCAGATGCACACGAACTTGGCAAACACAGCCACAGTATCGCCGGAACGGCTGTGCGATGAAAGAAAACGGCTGATTTCAGCCACGGAAGTGGTCCCAATCACGACCAGAAGCAACGAAGGACTGAGGATGAGTGTGGCGAAGACGGCGAGAATGCTGACTGCAAACACGGCGTTGATGCTCACCACTGACTGTGACGCTTGCTGCACCACTGCCTTCATCGTCACCACGTTGTCCGTTCTTGAATACAACGGTGACTGGATTTGTTGGCAGCACAAAAAAATGATCTTTTGAAAGGTATGTATGTACCAGTGCGTAAGGTAATTCATCTATATAGCGAACGCCATCAATATCGCGAACGGTTGTCATTATATCCAATCCAATGGCTTCATTCTGTAATGAGGAGTTTTCATTGGATAACGTGTCCGACCATTGATGGGCCAACTTTTCTTCATTTTTAATCTCATTTATTTCGGTTGTTTTTTGTTTTCCGAGTGGGAATGATACATTTTCGGATAGGTAATGATGAGTACTTTATGAATAACTCGAAGGATATCGACTTAAACAGTTTAGGAATGTACAGGATTTTTTTGAAGTCGAGCACTTTACACAGTCGACCATTGATGGGCCAACTTTTATACTTGAGCTAATTATGAAGAATCCAGGTGTCAGTTTTTTTTCATCCAGCGAGAAATTACAATTAATAGAGGTTTACCAAATCTGAACAGGTATCACGTATTGGAGTCTCAGTTGGAAAATAACATTTTCAATGTTATTGGCACACGTGGAATAATGTACACCTCATATTGTAACTCGTTTGTGCAAACGTTGGTGAG